AACACTAGTGCTGCCACGTTGCGGTCACCTCCCTCCACGCCCGGGGGATAGCATTGCCCCTCTACTGCAGCCTGTGAACGAGGATTTTCTTTTCTGGTACGCAAAAACAGATACACTGTATACTTCGCTGTCAGCCTACTGTCTACACTCTACAGTCTACAGTCAGGTGCTGTTGAGGGTATATAATTTAAATTGTTACATTGTTACCCCCCTCCCAATTTTCTCAACGAATTTAGAAGTTTCACAAAATCGACCCGAGGGACTGTCAAATCCGCGGATTTCCGCGGATCCGCGGAAGAATCTCATCCCTGTATATACAGAGTACCTATAAGTATATCAATACATCCTGTATTTGAATCCATCATGAGCGTTTTTCCCCCAAACTGGCCATTACTTCCTTTGTCTAATTTCCCCTCAGAAGAAACCCTGAGATAGACTATTAATGCATATATAGGGTACACACATGTGGTTGAAGGTAAAATGGTAGAAGCAATAAATGGTAAAATATTTTGCGCGGGTCGCTCCTGCCTGTTAGAAAATACATATACTAACAACTGGAGGTGGTGGTCGTCTCCCATGGCTTGTTTTCACTGCCTGCTGGAAACCTTCATCGTGCTCTAATTCATTTGTTGCCAGTGCTGGGTTGAAAGTATTGAAACCAGAGTAGAGGTCATCTTCATCATCTGGCACAAGGTGTACATTCTCCATCGTCTCTTTATAGAGCTGTGCCAGTATCAATAACCATGGAAAGAGCATCAGTAAACATGTTACATAAATCATTCAGTACTGTACACTGTACTGTGTATGTATCAATAATCGATTATTAAACTTGTAAATTTTATGCCATACAGGGCCATACTACTGCAGATAAGGTCTATGTCTCCCTGACCTCTGTTTAACCTGGCTCGTTTAACTATTTCTGACTAACCCTAACCCTGGTAGTGGTAAGGGTTAGGGTTAGGGTTAGGGTTAGTCAGAAATAGCTAAACGAGCCAGGTCAAACAAAGGTCAGGGAGACATAGACCCTACGGGCCATACTACTTACTAGTACTAGTAGTACTACAGCCCTCGTTGCGAGTGCACAGTGCATGATTTTCACAGTGAAGTACTGATATTGATAATGATATATTATATTAGTAACACTATTACTAATAGTAATCTTAGTATAATTAGTATGCTGTGTGTGTGTGCGGCGACCTTGTGTGTGTGCACTGGTGTGTGTGCTGTCTCGTGTGTTTTACCATTTAGTCTGATGACTTTCTGGGTGTGCTGTCGCGCGCTGATGGCCATTTTATCCCGCTTTTTTCTATGAGACCTTAAATACAAGCTGGATAGTCTCGTGCTGTCCGATTACTTTATGACAATGGTGTTAGCGTGTGGTGTGTGGGAGCGATTTGCGCGTTTCCTTTGTGGCTGTGGTAGAGTGGGTAAACCTGTCGTGCTGTGCTGCTGTGTCGCTGTGTGTATGACACAGACCCACTGTTCTGTCCACGGCCTTTTGGCGCGTTACTGCCCGTTAGCCGGTGCTGCTGTGTGTATATTGTCATTGTAGTGTGAGGTGTGTGATCCTATCCGACTTACAGATATCAGAGGTGAATAGTGTGTGTGCATTAATATGTGTGACGTCTGGTGTGTGTGTGTGTGTGTGTGGTGTCAGGCACTCTGAGGACAGAGTATTCGGACAGGTATTGTGGAAATTGAATACGCTTGTATAGAAACTTTATTCAATGATTTGGTAGGTTGATAGAAGGGCTGTCTGTGATCAGGTAATGACCCGTGCTTATTGGTGTGGCCCAGAGTTATTCTACGCTCTATCTATATTTTGTTTGCTTTGAGCGAAATATTGCAGTTTCCTGAGTAATAAAGAAGCTTGGGGCTGTAGTTCCTAGTGTGATTAGACAGCAGTTAGTATTTTTTATTTTTATTTATACTTAGTCTGGTAGAATTTTCTGAATTAGTTTACAAATGCTCTCTTAGTTGTATATCTATTATTATGTTTAACATTTATCTCAGAAAAACAAAATAACTAAAGTATATCATGATCACTACTGTCATGTTAAGCAAAAGTTGAAGGAGAAAAGCTAAGAACTATGATGGAAAGCTAATAATAATTAAACGACTAAAATGAAAATATAAGATGAACCAACGCCGTTGCACGTGGACGGCAACTCGACCCAAAGCAACGGCCGAATGTTTAGGGTGCTCCATATCTTAAGAAGATTAGTACTGAGTGGATTGATCCAATGTTGCCATTACGCCACCTCGTACGAGCGCGAAGTTAAGCCAATCATGAGCAATCCCCCACTTGGTTATTATTTTTGCCTCGTGCTGTATACACCCGCTATAACATTAGCTTACTGTATAATGTAATTTTGCTTGTCCGTGCCATGGACAGCATTCGGCTCAGCACCCTGACTTCAGAGCCAAGTATACTTTTAAGCCGCTTTGTGTATGAGCGACAATAGTGATTATGTTGTGCGGGCTCGTTGTCTTTATTAGAATGCCAGACTGCCTGGGTTACGATTCGGAGCGCGGCCGGATAGGTCCATTCACAGAATCACGAGAGTGGGTTAGTTCGGCAATCCGAAAGAGATTCAGGATACAAGTCTGTAAATTCTATCGGGGTGTGGGATAGGTCCCCACATCCGGTATGACGGGCGTAGCATGTCTTCTGCATTTCAGTTCGCAAGACATACAGGCAACTCTCTATTAGATTGTACTGTCGCATGTTCCGGCATTCCTCTGATGACTAGAGACATCTTGAAGTTGAAGATGGTTCAGGAGCATGGACGAGTGGTAAATTTTATAGCAGAAAGTGAGCAGGGATCGAATTGGCAGTAAATTTCGACTCGCCGACAAGATATCCAATGTCTGGCGCACGGATTTAAGCGTTATGATGTATCTGTAAATTTATAAGTGGATAGTCATTAAATCAACCATCAGGATTATCAAAATGTTGATCACTTTCTTTTCTCATGGCAATTCCGATCGATATTTATGGTCAGATGTGTCTAAGTGTGTGAGGATTGTGATTACGGAAATAATAGCAGCAAACAGTAAATATTGATTCTCTCTAGTTAGTAACTGTGGCATTAGATTACGCTCAATTATGTTAGCAAACGGATGTCTATGACTACTAACGATGTTCCTACACCCGAACCTGGACCTGCTAGTCCTCGTTAAATCACTCTAGATCTAAATTGTGTTCGCGCTACCTATAGCTAATCATCGATTGCCTAATTAATACCTTCTTGTGCTTTTACTAGCAGAGGGTTGCCGGCTGTATACCGTACACTCGGATGTGTAGGCAGCCATGCGTGGTGTGCACCAGACGNTCGGAGATTTTTTCGCGCCACAAGTAAGCGGCGTAGGGGCGCTTCGCAGCGGCATGCCATTTTGCAGTGCGATCTCACGAAATTTAAATGAACCGTTCTTCCAATATAATTAACTCACAAAATTAAAAAAGGTTTATATGGGACAGAATTATTCGGTCTACTACCCTGGTACTATGCTTATCTATATATGCCAGACCAGATACCAACAGAATTAATTATTTAAGGTCGCTACTCCACTAACAGAGTCTATGAGTCGCTCTACGTCTACTGCCCTATAGTATTACCGGCGAACAAAATCCTAACCCTAACCTTTCACAACTAAATTCCTAAACCCTTACATATCAAATAGTTGAGTGCCAGAGGATAGGCCATAAGTTCGGCATATGCCTGGTTCGCGGGAGGAGCAGTGACAGAAGGAGGATACGTTCCGGTGCAGTACGTATTGGCGGTTCATAGCTTGGGACATAAAATTACTCGTATGTGTAGTGGCTTCTATGGAGTAGAGCACAACACTGGACTTTTTGCCACGGCTGTGGTTACACGTGGAATTTATTTGTTCGGGATAAATTGTTTATGGGTCGGCCAGGTCTCCTAACCCTGGGCGAATGGTAAGGACTTGTTGATATGGGGGGCACACAGGGCAGCTGAGCCGGACGAAAAACCGCAGAGTTGGAATCGAATGCGAAGTCTTTAGATAGTTGAATTGTGTGCCGAATTGATATGGGATTTTCGATTCTCAATATGTATCGGATACTAACTATGGAATGTGGAAGAGGCTAGGTAAAGCACTACGCAAACCTTTAGGTAATACACACTGACACTGTCACTTATCTCGAATATAGCGCATAGATGATATAAAATATCTTTATTAGAGATATATATTGCTGCGTGGCAATTTATAAATCGGTGGGGAGATTTTTATAATTCTTTTCTAATGCCTGTCGTTGAATAGTTGCCGGGCTTTACGTATTACGTTTATGTCTGTTAGAGATCTGAGCTTCTCACACTCGTTTACCGTATTCGATTAGCTATTCTAGTCTAGGTTAGAGAGTATTAGTAGGTACTCTGTCTCTTCCGCAAACGCAGTTGGTATACATCGAAATGCTATTTCGCGCCTAATAGCTCGCGCGGCGCGCAGTTCAGTGGGTTGCAAGTGTCGGTGGCATACCATGTCGTGTGTAGGCTTCCACGGCTTCTGCATCTAGTTAAATTAAGTATATCCTTCTCTACGGGAAGAAGCGTTCGTCCTTTGCTTGTGCGAAGGTTCCAGCGATAACTATAACGACGGTGTGTGTGCGCGCTCTGGCTCGATTGCGTGATCGTCGTTAACTTTCCTCGTTCGAATCGTTTCGTTCTAATCGTTCGTTCGTTCGTTCGTGTTGTTCGTTCGTTCGTAATCGTGATCGTTTGCTCCTTCATGTCCTGGTTCGTTGCGGGGCGTCGAAGACTGACGTGATTTTACGCATTGGGATTCCTCGCCGTTTATAATAGCAGCCGCGGTGACGTAGGATCCGAGGCGGCGCCTTGCCCTCGTCGCCGTGCCTCGAGTGCCTGGCCGTTGTCCTCCTCGGCTAACACGTGTACATGTGATGCAATCGCCTTGTCGTGCACGTGGCTGGCTGGCGGCCCACTCTCATCGCCCGGCCCGTGTACGTGAGGGTGCAACTCCCTGACCTCCCACATCGGCTGCTATGGGACCCCCCCTCCCCCAGGCAAACTCTACCTCTGTTGCGGTGGCTGGTCTCTGATTGTATGACGTCATTCCCCCTGAAATCTCCACACTATGAGCGTTACTATTACAGTATACGGTACCATTTATGTGGCTAATGTGTGAACTAAACTCAAGCCTGATGTTATCCTTGCTCTCAAAATAGGCTTTCGGCCAACTGATCCATCGAGGATTGAGACAAGTGGCTGGACTTAATGTAAGTGTGCTTAAAAAGTTAAAAGCGATAAGGATCTAGCCCTCAATATTATATCATAATGGTATTTATTCTGTAGTTGTTCACTGGATAGACTAAAGGAGGAAATCATTGCCATATCTTCTCTGTATCAAAAGTGATTTAACAAGGTTATTTATACAACAAGGTAGTTATTGTAACCATGGCATGAGGAAGTGCCATTATCTATGTCAAATTAAAGATTGCTCACGTCGACTTGTGGCTTACTGTTTATTGACATTGGTGGAATATATACAATACTACATTCTGTGTGAAAACCGAAATTTGCAAATGTGAGTGTGCATTTTTTTCCTTGAACGTTATTTAGGATGTAGTGGTGGTGAGTGCAGTCAGGACACCGATGGGGTCATTTAGAAGCTCACTCAGTGCTGTACAGGCACCACAGCTGGGAACCATTGCTATCAAGAATGCTGTGGAAAGGGCAGGTAATAAAATCTGTAGTTACTCTAAAACAGTAGACAGTAATTGTAGGGTATACGTGTTAAATGTGATCTATGCCAAATGTGGTGCTTTTATTACATGAGCCACGATGCATCTCAATTTCATACAATGCAAATCATATCAAATCATAGCAAATTTCATATCATGCAAATCTGGCCAACAGCACAGAAAAATGTTAGTGACCTAGCAGAATTTGTTGTATACTACCAAGTTATCTAGTACTGAAATCCAGTGCCACCATAGCAAGATTAGTAATAATACTACAGTCTAACCTGTAGATACAGAGTCCCTCAAAGAAAACCCCAAAAGTGTTCATTCTATAGCAGTGCTGACTATAACAGGTTTGGATATAATGACATACAAACATATAGCACAATTGCATGTAATATATGTTTTGTGCTTAATTGATGATAAACTCTATCTGTTCAAAATTTTCTATACAGGTATTCCACCAGAACTAGTGCAAGAGGTGTACATGGGGTGTGTAGTACAGGCTGCTCAGGGCCAGGCTCCTGCTAGACAGGCGACGCTAGGAGCGGGGCTTGCCATCACAACGCCGACGACGACCGTGAACAAAGTCTGCGCCTCGGGAATGAAGTCCATCATGTTGGCGTCGCAGAGTCTGATGTGTGGCCACCAGGTGAGATGTCCGGGCAAATTACGATCGAAGAAATTGCTGATATTATCTCGCATGCATGTGTTACGTCCACATAAGTCGCAAGTAATGAATGTAAGTGTTTTGGTAAAAAAAAATTGCATGGTGTAATGCTGTTGCTGTCGGGAATTATGCTCCCTGTATTTTTAGCTCACCTTGACATTGTCAGTTCTGGTTCAACGGATTTTGCTCATTTTTGGTATGTGAATGAATAAGGGCTAGGGGTTTTGACATTTTAAAAAAAATTATGCAAATTAGGTAGGGTTTGGCAATTATATAGCATATTATATAAACACAAACAGTCTGTGGTGTCACACTCGTCTGGTTCGTTTTACAAGATTTCATTGACAATATCTTTAATGCAAAATTGGTATTTCCTTATTCCGCTCGTCGCACCCTGAGATAAAACGTCTATTTGAGGTAAAGTTTACAACAACATGTCGGAACCGCAGGCTAACCTATTTATTCAAACGCCATTCGCTCAAAGCGGGTATTAGCGCCAATCTACGGTCACAATTGTGATTCATTTTGGTTTATAATATTATATTGCGATATAGTAACAGATGGCATCGTTTTCTATATGTAGACTGATGGTTGTCTCATATTAAAACTGATTTCTTTCTTAGTCACTCATTTGTGTCTTTTTTTGTGTGAGGCTACATGTCATTGACCTTTCATTAGGTATTAGGGTTACTGCTGCTTCGTGATTTTGTTTGAGATTATGTATCTGTGATTCTATTGGATGTTATTTCATCTGAATAGTTTGGTAGAGTATTATGCTAACAGAAAGAGCCAATAAGACCTGATACTGTCTGAATAATCCAGTAGGATGTTTGAAGTTCTGTGATTCTCTAGGAAATAATAGCTGCTTGGTATGATGTATAGGTGGCTGTGGTGACTATGCAAAGATTTCAATGACTGTAATTCTATAGGAGGTCATGGTGGCTGGAGGCATGGAGAGTATGTCCAATGCACCGTATTACATGATGAGGGGTGATTCACGTTGAGTGGGATGTGAGTGGTGTTAGGCCGTGGCGGGGTGGGGCGGTGGCCGGGGCAGTCATTATGGAGGGGTCATGCTACATGACTCCATCACGCATGATGGCTGTGGATGTATACAACAAGATACACATGGTACAGTATGGTTGTAATCATGTGTTGAATTTGTTCAGCACGCAAGCCCTCCTAGATCATGAGACTTTACTGCATGTGTAACAACAGTGAATGGGTGTGATTACATAATGGAATTGAATCTACTCATGTTGTGAAAATATTACGAGTAAAGCATGCAACTGATAATAGTTATATAGTTCTAAAAAATCGATATGAGACTGAATTAGAAAATTATTTAAGATTGACTGTCAGTCAGCATTTTGTGGTGTGATATATGGTTTTACATTCAAAGCCCATGATAATGCCATAGATGTTAATACAACCATATGCTCTCATGGCGAAGTCATTAAAGTGGTCATCTTAGCCGTTCAGTTGGCAGTGCTCACATGATGTCTACCCTTACGTAAATCCAGGGCGTCTGTGGAGAAACCACGGCTGAGAAATTCAACATCTCTAGAGAGGATCAGGACGTGTTTGCTATCAACAGCTACAAGAAGTCTGCAGCGGCGTGGAAGGCAGGCACATTTAAGGATGAGGTGGTTCCTGTTATCATCCCGCAAAAGAAAGGTACGTACCAACAAGCAAGCGTAGGTCACATCGAGTGGTAGCTAGCTTACATTGCTCTACGCCTGTGCATGAAATTAAAGTCGATGCCCAATGGCTGGTCTAGTTCTAAGCTTCTGGCGATTATGTTGGTGATGGTGGATTGCAACATGTGGTTTAGTTCATGCAGTGTTATGTCAGTCTTTAGCTCACATTGACATCGTCAAGATGAGCTATTGCCATGGTGTGTCGTACATCTGTCCGTCCGTCCGTCTGTCCGTCCATCCGTCAACATTTGGCTACGGTCAACGATAACTTGAGAACCATTTGACCCACATGTTACAAATTGCATACAGTTGTTACTCCTATGGGAGAGATGTGAACGTCCTATTTTGGAGCACGCCAGTTGACCTACTTTCGAGCCATGCCCACTTTTTGGCAAAAATGGAAATGGCCATAAGTCAGTTCAGGTTCAACGGATTTTGCTAATTTTTGGTATGTGAATGAATAAGGACTGGCCCCAAAACATATCACAGGGGTTTTGATATTTTTTTAAATTATGCAAATTAGGTAGATTTTGCCAATTTCACTATGCATTTCAGTGTCTGCTTAGGGTCAATGATAACTCAAGAACCGTTTGACCCACATGTTTCAAATTGCATACAGTTGTTACTCCTATGGGAGAGATTTGAATGTCCTATTTTGGAGCATGCCAGTCGACCTACTTTCGAGCCACGCCCACTTTTTGGCAAAAATGGAAATGGCCATAAGTCAGTTCAGGTTCAACGAATATTACTCATTTTTGGTATGTGAATGAATAAGGACTAGCCCCAAAACCTATCACAGAGGTTTTGATATTTTTTTTAATTATGCAAATTAGGTAGATTTTGCCAATTTCACTATGCACTTCAGTGTCTGCCTACGGTCAACGATAACTCATGAACCGTTTGACCCACATGTTTCAAATTGCATACAGTTGTTACTCCTATGGGAGGGATTTGAACGTCCTATTTTGGAGCACGCCAGTCGACCTACTTTCGAGCCACGCTCACTTTTTGACAAAACTGAAAATGGCCATCTAGATTCATTCGATTTTATTAAATTTACCTACCTACCTACCTACCTACCTACCTACCTACCTACCTAATCATACCTACGTGTAATATTGTGTTTTTGATTCTTTGTTACAGTAATTTGGCTGGAATATTCTATTGCTTTTACTTGCGTGATAATCGAAAACAACAAAAAAGGCGATCATTTAGGCATAGCGCCATCTCTCGCCCAGATTTCAGACTTTCAGATCTGAAACGTTTATTTTCGCATCAAAACTAACCCTGAAACAAAACAGTGAAATTTCTATTAGTATAAAACAGGGAATAAGGACATTTGATCACATTTTGGTCCATCATAAATGAAACACTTACCAAATTTTAAATATCATCTCCCTCTACTATCACACCCAAGGTATGCTATAGTGTCATTGACACCTTCATTATTGGTATGCTCTATGCTGTTAAAAGCATCAGCATTGTTGTAGTTCATAGTCATTAATTTGAAACGTGTTATTTCTGCTTTATACAGGCAAACCTGATGTAGTTGTGTCAGAGGATGAAGAGTTTAAGAAGGTGAACTTCGAAAAGTTCAGGTCTCTCAAGCCAGTGTTCAAGAAGGAAGGCGGTATGAATTTTCTATTTTTAGCATTGCATAGTTAACAAAGAAAAGTATGTGGTTGGCTTGTTAGACATATTTGACATGCATTGATTTTATGTTTAATTGTGCTTACTTGTTCCTTGAGTAAATTCTATGAAAATAAGTTTGAAATTAAGTGTTTCTCCTTTTTGACCAGGAAATTTATTCAGGAATTGACGTTGAAAGCATGTGGATGTTACTTAAAATAATGATTAAAAAACCAAACATCATATAACAATAAACATGTCACAAAATCCATAAATATGCCAGTCTTTGAATTAAATCTGATAGCTCAGTCAGTCTGGATTTAAAAAATTATTATTTCTACTATATAGTTATAATAAAATCCATAAAAACTAACCAGTCCTGCTCAAAAGTTACCAGTCCCAAGCTGGGGGACAGGCTGTTATAGCAACACTGAATACAAAAACAAACAAGACCTAAAACAAGCTTAAATAAGGCTTGGGCATCTAATTTCAACCTTGCGTGCGTATCACATTTGCAAATGTGTCATTGCTTCTATGTCTGTGTGCTTCGTTGTAGGCACGGTGACGGCAGCGAATGCCAGCACACTGAATGATGGTGCAGCAGCTGTTGTTCTCATGACCGCTCACAAGGCAAATGCTCTGAAGCTGAAGCCGCTAGCCAGGATCGTGGGTAAGTACCCTACGTTGCTTCTCCCATGTATTCTTATATTCCTCACTCATTCTAACCTGCCATCTCGACGACTGTATTCCCAACCTAGATAGAATACGAAAACAACTCCATATTCCTTGCTCATTCTAACCTGTCATCTTGACAACCATATTCCCAGCCTTACGCCTTTTACTTGCGACAAAAATTATTTAGATTAATTAATGTTATAAATTAGTTTTGAGGGTACTGCCGAATTTATCTTGTCGGTCAGATGGTGTTACTTTATTACTTAGTTAATCCTCCCCATTCCTGGAGGAACATAGGGCTTTCAATCAACTCTAGCCTTTCGAATGATTTGCTTTATGACATTCTGTGACACTGTCGTAAGAAGAAGAAAATTACAGCTGGAAATGACATCGTCGCAAATGCTCTTGTCGCTTATATATTTTTGTCTCACCAGACTGCCCATTAGATGCGACGATGGCGCAAAGTACGTGGCCGAGGAATTCGCTCCTTCACTCCTCCACCCTATTAATTACCGACGCATGCTAACATTCTTGTCATCGCACACAGGTTTCGCCGACGCCGCCGTCGCGCCGATCGACTTTCCGATCGCTCCGGCGAGCGCCATCCCGAAGGTGCTCGAGTCGTGCGGCGTCAGCAAGGATGACGTCGACATGTGGGAGATCAACGAGGCGTTCAGCTGCGTCGTTCTCGCCAACATCGAGATGCTGGACCTCGACCCGACGAAGGTCAACGTCAACGGTGGTGCCGTCAGTCTCGGACATCCCATCGGGTAAGAAGCTGTGGTCGTCACAGGTGTGGAGCAGGCGTGCGTGAGAGAGAGGGGGGAGGAGAGTGAGGGGGGAGAGTGGCAAGAAGAAAAGAGAAGGAGAGAAGAGAAGAGAGAGATAGATAGAGAGAGGTGAGAGAGAGAGGAAGGGGGGGGGGAATTCCCCCTTCTCTCTCTCTCTCACTCTCCCTCTCTCGGAGAGAGAGAGAGAGGGAGAGAGAGAGAGAGGAGAGAGAGCGAGAGAGAAGCGAGGAAAGGCGAGAGCGAGAGGAAGCGAGGAAAAACGAGAGCGAGAGAGCGCGCGCGCGAAGAGAGAGAGAGAGGAGGGACGAGGGAGAGAGAGGAGGGAGGA